AGACAAACGGCAGTTAGGACTTTTCTATTATTGTGAATATAGGGATGGAATAGGTTTATCTATTGTATATTTAGGTTGGACAAACCCGGTGTAAACTTTGACAAAAATAATAACAAAATAAGGCTAAATTTGAAGCCGGTTAACTACTAGGTTCTGCCTGTTATCATGTCAAGTGGACAATAGTAGCAGTATATACACACTGTACTATTATAGTAGGACAATGCAAACTGATAATTCACTACTTCATACTAATGATACTATCACATTTATCATGTGGCACAACAGTGACTACACTGCAATAGTACATGTAACAATCCTTCACTAATATAAAATAACTGACACAATAGTGTATGACACAATGACAATACAAGTAGCTAGTTCAGCAGGAATCTGTGATATCTTTTAACAAAAGTTATTATGATGGCTTTAGCACTGTTATTAGGACCCATATTACTCTGTACTGGGTTGTCAAGTAAGCCTCAAACATTTTTATGCTTATGATTGATGCGTACAAAGGTGGTAATGTGACTAAATTTCAATGTACTGATGGAAGTGTGTGTGCTGGAGACAGAGTGGAGTGTATCTGTACAACAAGTACTGGAACAATAGACTGGACCATCAGTCACAGAGTACTAGGATCCAATAACCAAAGCTGGATACATGTCAAAACTGTAAATTTCAATGCAGCTACAAATGGTTCCACTATAGAAAGTGAGGGATACACTTTTACTGATAATGCTGATAAGAGCTCGAGGCTTAAGTTTCATTTGAATGCATCAGAGGGCATTTTAATTGTATGCCAAGATGGCAATGAAGGGGACAATAAAACTTCAATAATCACTGATACAGGTAAACTTGTTTTAAAATGAAGAGAATTATGCTACCAATACCATCAATGAATTGGTTGTAAAATTTATGTTAATTAATAACAGGCTATTATGCAAAAGCACCAAGAAACTTAACGACAGCCTTCAATGCAAGTGGAGTTACTTTACAATGGAAGGACACTGGGAATAATTGTACCTCCACAATGTATCACGTGACTCTTAATAGTACATCAACTGATAAATTAACATATATTACAAGGAAAACAACCTTATACATTAAGTCAAGTGATTTGTTAAAAAATATAACCTATACATACACTGTTAGAGGAAGGCCTGAAAAGCAAAGTGTTATCAGTAGACCATTCACACTTGGTAGGGTACACATGTCTCACTAACAAACATGTAGCCATTTGTTTTTGATTTTTAGCTCCTATTAAAGTGAAGAATGTTGCAGTATCTACAACTAATACTACTAATCCTTGTAAGAATAATAGTTGCTGTGTAAATGTTACATTGAATATAACACTGGTGAGATTATTTAATTATTATGAATAACTTCATAATGTTAACTATCAATTCATGCAGGAATCATCAGATCATGCAGATGTGAAACATCCAAGTCAGTACTATAACATATCATACAGTTCCAATACTGGAGAAGTATCATATAATATAACTGATTATGATAAAACAAAATGGACTGGAAGGTTAAAATACAATAAGAGGTATTACTTTACAATCATACCGATGAATGATTTCATTGCAGGAGAACAAATAAGTATGTTGTGTGTGCAATAATTTATATTATTTATAGTACTGCAGATAACAATACAATGACTTCTAAATATCATTGTCAATCATCGGGAAATGGCGGTTTATTGGTTTGGAAATATGTTATAAT